AGTGTCTCCTGGAATAAGGGTGTCTGCTGCCATGCCCTGGCTTCCATCTTTTTTTTTTTTTTTTTTTTTTTTTTTTTGCAACAGAGTCTCGCTCTGTTGCCCAGGCTGGAGTGTAGTGGCAAAATCTCAGCTCACTGCAAACTCTGCCTCCCGGGTTCAAGCCACAGCTAGGATTACAGGCGTGTGCCACTATGCCCGTCTAATTTTTGTATTTTTTCAGTAGAGATCAGGTTTCATCATATTGGTCAGGCTAGCCTCAAACTCCTGACCTGGTAATCTGCCCACCTCAGCTTCCCAAAGTGCTGGGATTACAGGTGTGAACCACCATGCCTGGCCCCTGGCTTGTCTCTATGCTGTCTGTCCTGCCAAAGCATAGCCCTTGCCGGGGGGGGGGGGGGGGGGGGGGGCGGGGTGGAGGGGAACTGAGTGCCTCCAGTAGCTGGGGAGCCTGGCATGCAGTGCGTGCTTGTGGAAGGAATGACAGGATAAAGGCACATGAGGACCTGGAAGATAAGTCAGAAGTGGCCGGAGTGTGAGGTAGGCAAGGCCACATTATTGCTCCCATTTTACAGAGGAGGAAACTGAGGCCCGACAGGCATCCTGAGCTGCTGATGGCAGCAGCCCTGGTGTTCAGAGGTGGATCTCAGCCCACGCCTGGTAACTCCCTGCCCCACCACTGTCTACTAGGGGAGGAGACTTAGGCCACAGAGAGCTGGGCAGGGTGGGAGAAGCCACATCAGTGATTCATCTGAAAACCACAGTTGAAAGGGCAAATGCTGGCCCCGAGGACAGAGCACTCGGTGGGCATGATGGGCAGGGATGGGCAGGGGTGGGCAGGGAGCAGAGCAGCCCTGCCCCCATAGTGCAATGGCGCCCATCTGAGTTTTCAAGAAGGCTCCCTCCCTGTTCCATGGGAACCCTTGCCCCAGCCCAGCCTCCCCAGCACCCCCAGGAGGCCTCTTTCCTAGAGATCCTGCCTCCTCCCCTTGCCAGCCCCAACCTGCAGTCTACCCCACACCTGTGGCAGCAGAGGGAGGCTTATACAATGCAACTGCTGCCACTTCCCTGCCCTGCTGGCCCCCACTGCCCTCTGGGTAGACACCGTGGCATTTGGCCTCTCGTGGCCCCACCTGTGCTGGCCTGTGGCTCACCTCCTTTCCGTCTCACTGTCCATCCCTCTGTGCATCCCTGACACATCTAGATACTCCTGCCCCCAAGCTGTTCGCCATGCCTCAGACACCTTCTCAGCCTCGGAGAGCTTAGGAATTCCTCTTCTGTTTTCAGAAGACAGTGCAAGATGGCGCTGAGACTGCTGCAGTCCCCTGCAGACCTGGGCTCCTTCCTGGGGCCCTGCAGTGGCACTCACCTCTCTGGCAGCCCCAGCAGTCTCACTGATAGAGCCTCGAGGCTAGGCCTGGGTCTCTCTCACCACGGGGTCCTCCATGCCTAGCCCAGGCCCAGGACCGGGGAGGGACACCGACAGCTGAGCTCCAGGGACCGTGCTTTCCAGCCCCGGCAGGGCCAAAGAGCTGAGCCCAGGTCAGCCTTGCAGGAGAGCCACTGCACGTGAGCTCACATCCTCAGCCCCGGCGGTGTCCAAGCCGGCCGGCTCAGTGAGGACACAGACACCAGGTCCCCAGCTGCCTGACAAGAGGAGGCACCAAGGTGCCCTGGGGTGGAGCACAGCCTCTGACTATGACAATGCCCTCAAGAAGCAGGTGGTGGCCGGGCGCGGTGGCTCACGCCTATAATCCCAGCACTTTGGGAGGCCGAGACGGGTGGATCACGAGGTCAAGAGATCAAGACCATCCTGGTCAACAAGGTGAAACCCCATCTCTACTAAAAATACAAAAATTAGCTGGGCATGGTGGCGCGTGCCTGTAATCCCAGCTACTCAGGAGGCTGAGGCAAGAGAATTGCCTGAACCCAGGAGGCGGAGGTTGCGGTGAGCCGAGATCGTGCCATTGCACTCCAGCCTGGGTAACAAGAGCGAAACTCCGTCTCAAAAAAAAAAAAAAAAAAAAAAAAAAGAAGCAGGGGAGGGGACCCTGGATTTGAGGACATCTGGGTTTGATCCAAGGACAGCTCTTTACCAGATGGACAAGTCTCAGTTTCCCCCCTCTGTTTTGTTTTGTTTCTGCGAGTCTCACTCCTTTTGTCCAGGCTGGAGTACAATGTCGCAATCTCGGCTCACTGCAACCTCTGCCTCCCAGGTTCAAGCAATTCTCCTGTCTCAGCCTCCCGAGTAGCTGGGATTACAGATGCCAGCCACCATACCCAGCTAATTTTTGTAATTTTAGTAGAGATGAGGTTTTGCTATGTTGGCCAGGCTGGTCTTGAACTCCTGACCTCAAGTGATCCACCTGCCTCGGCCTCTCAAAGTGCTAGGATTTATGAGCCACTGTACCTGGTCCCCTCTGTTAAATGAGCAATTCCATGCCCACCTCCTCAGGCTGTTTTGAGAATTAAATGAAAATAAGGACAGGTCCCTGCAGACTTTGTAAACTAGCAAGTGCTACGCAGATGCCAGCACTTCTCTGAGTCTGTGAGGCTTACACCTTCTAACAAAGCAGAGGAGTGACAACTCCAGCTCTCATCTCGTCGGTATCTTGGTGAAACACAGATCCAGATTCAAATCTGCCACTTCCTGGCTTCATGGCCTCCGAAAGTCACCTGCCCTCTCTGAGCCTCCTCTCTGTCAGGTGATGAAAAGACTCGCCTGCAGGTTTGTGGAGAGGCCCATGAGAGAAGGCAGGTCTGGTGTTCAGAGTCCTACCTGGCTCCATGCTCTAAGCCATTATATGCTGTGACTGGGGGTGGCACCGGCTTCTGCCTGAGAGTTAAGTAGCTCTCAACAGCTAATCCTGCAGTAAATGGGCTGGGGTTTGGCAGGAGGCCAGGGTTTTTAATTAGCTCCTGCCCTGAGATGAGGCAGTTGTGGCTCCACTGTCAGCAGTGACAGTGTGGTGCCTGCAATGAGCGGGGACGTCCAGGCCACCTCCCTCTGCCTCCAGAGGGCTGCCTGCACCGCCTCCTGACCTGCCCAGGCTTCACCTTCCCAGCAGGCCGGGCCCAGCCTCCACCGTGACCATTAGCGCTCCAGGCAGCAGCCAGCGGGGTCTTTCTCCAGCGCAGCTCTGACCTGGCTCCCACTTCCAGCCCTCAGTTATCTCCTGTGCTCTTCACAAAGCCTGCACGGCCACTCCGGCCCCTCCCAGGCAGGCTCTCCTCTCTGGCCACACTGACCTTATCTCTCTCTCTCTCTTCTTTTGAGATGGGGTCTTGTTTCGTCACCAGGCTGGAATACAGTGGTGTGATCTCAGCTCACTGCAAGCTCCGCCTCCCGGTTCAAGTGATTCTCCTGCCTCAGCCTCCCAAGTAGCTGGGATTACAGGTACTCGCCACCACGCCTGGCTAATTTTTGTTGTTTTAGTAGAGAAGGGGTTTTGCCATGTTGACCAGGCTGGTCTTGAACTTCTGACCTCATGATTTGCCCACCTCAGCCTCCCAAAGTGCTGGGATTACAGGTGTGAGCCACCGTGCCTGGCCTACACTGACCTTCTCTTAGTGCCTCAGGACCACCAGGCCTTGGCACCTGCTGTTCCCTCTTCCTGGGGCTCCCTCCTCCCTCTCTTGCTAAATGAACTTGCCCTCAGGATTTCACCTTCAATATTGCTTCTGCCCAGTGGGGCACTGGTTTCCTCCTCGTGTGCCAGAGGCTCCATGACCCGCGATCAGCCCACATACCATGTTTTGGCAAAACTGCGGGTTCATCCTCTATCTCTTCACGGGCCCCTAAACTTCAGGAGGCTAGGGACGGTGCCCACTTCCTCACACTGCCTGGTTCCCGGTGCTATCAAGTGTGTGCTGGTTGGCCAAGGACCCCCGAAGCGCCACCTCCTTAGCACCGGGCACCTGCTCCCTGTGCTCTCCTTGAATCTTAGCAACAATCTCACAAAGGAGGGTTATTGCTGAGGAAACCAAGGCCCACCCCCAGGCATGGTGGCTCATGGTAATCCCAGCACTAGGAGACCAAGGCGGGCGGATCACCTGAGGTCAGGAGTTCAAGACCAGCGTGGCCAACATCTCGAAGCCTTGTCTCTACTAAAAATACAAAATTAGCCAACCGTGTTGGCACACACCTGCAGTCCCAGCTACTCGGGAAGCTGAGGCAGGAAAATCGCTTGAACCTAGCAGGTGGAGGTTGCAGTGAGCCAAGATTGGGCCACTGGGCAACAAGAGTGAAATTCTGGCCGGGCACGGTAACTCACGCCTATAATCCCAGCACTTTGGGAGGCTGAGGTGGGTGGATCACGAGGTCAAGAGATCGAGACCATCCTGGTCAACAAGGTGAAACCCCGTCTCTACTAAAAATACAAAAATTAGCTGTGTGTGGTGGCATGCACCTGTAGTCCCAGCTACTCGGGAGGCTGAGGCAGGAGAATTGCTTGAACCCAGAAGGCGGAGGTTGTGGTGAGCCAAGATCGTGCCATTGCACTCTAGTCTGGTTAACATCAGCGAAACTCCGTCTCAAAAAAAAAAAAAAAAAGAGTGAAATTCCTTCTCAAAAAAAATGAAAAAAGAAACCAAGGCCCAGAGAGGGGAACTGGCTTGAGCCAGTGAGTGACAGCAGGGCAGGACTGGACACCAGGCCTGGCTGGTGCCACTAGAGGCCCACCCACAACAGCCGGCTTGGTCCCTGGGTCCTGCCCCACTGGCACTGGGCCCAGCAGCTTGCGTCCCTACAGCCAGGTGCTCCGTCCGGGGGCCACACCTCGTGTGGGCCTCTTCCATTTCCTGTGTCTCCAGGTGCATGAGTGGCTTGATGCAGGTCTTGGAGGCATTCGCCATGTTTCACTGGAGAGGGTGAGTGGGAGGGACAGAGGGATGAATCTCTGTGTGGCCTCAAGACAATCTGCCATCCTTTCCCCTGGTGAGGTCTGCACGGGGAGGACGATGGGAGCCACTCATCCCTGGCCTTGACTCCTTTCTCCCTACAGAGGCAGATGCAGGCTCCACGGAAGGACCCCACCAGGAAGTGCCCAGCTCCAAGATCTGCCAGCAGCCCCAAACAGCCTCCTGCAGAATCCGTCTACACAGTGAGTCCCAGGGCCCAGGCTCCCTCCACTGCTCTCAGGCCTGAGGCAGGGTCTGATTCCTTGGCTCAGTCCTTTTCTTTCTTTCTTTCTTTTTTTTTTTTTTGAGACAGAATCTTGCTCTGTCACCCAGGCTGGCCCAGGCTGGATTGCAGTGGTACGATCTCAGCTCACTCAACCTGTGCCTCCCGGGTTCAAGCGATTCTCCTGCCTCAGCCTTTCTAGTAGCTGGGATTGCAGGCGCACGCCACCATGCGTGGCTAATTTTGTATTTTTAGTAGAGACGGGGTTTCACCATGTTGGTCAGGCTGGTCTTGAACTCCTGACCTCATGATCGCCCACCTCCGCCTCCCAAAGTGCTGGGACTACAGGCATGAGCCACTGCGCCTGGCCCCCTGCTTCAGTCTTATACCAGCTGTGTGACTTCTCCTAGCCTCAAGTTCCTCATCTGTAAAATAGGGACAACAATTCCCACCTTGTGGAATTTCTGTGAAGCTGAAAAGAGATGACATGTGCAGGCCCCCTGGAAAGCATACGAATGCCAGGTGCCCCCCATGCCCTGTTCCCCTCCTTGACACGGCCCCTCACTCTGCAACAAGTGAGGGCACAAGTTGGTGAGGGTGAAGAAAGCTCCTTCATCTGACCAAACAACTGTCCGCACTTCCTCCAGTTTTTATTGCACAAACAACACAAATCACAAAAAGCGGAAGAGGTCAGGCGCCATCCCACGCCCTTAACGCCTCGGTGATTTTTAACTATTTGCTCTCTCCCCTCCTGGCACATGCAGACACCGTCACCTTCACAGCGGCGACACGGATTGGGACCCTGTTTGCTCCACTCCCTGCTGTGTCCTAGGCATTTTCCTAAACGATCTTCCTGGAGATGTGGGTGTGGCTGCAGCGTAGGGGACGAGGAGGCCAGGCCGCCCCAGCCCGGCCAGCTGGCCAGCATGCGGCCCTCGGCCCAGTAGCTGGGGCTTGGGAGGGCGGGGAACACTCTTCTTGCTATGCTCCTTTCAGCTCCACGAGGAACATATGCTCCAAGCAAAGCAAGTGAAGAACAAATGCCACCCAGTGCCAGCTGGGGTCCCCATCCCGTGAGATCTGGCACTGCCAGGTGGGATCTCCACTCCGCGCCCGGGAGACACAGAGCCGTTCTGGGGCCCTGCGGTTTCTGCAGGTGCACGATCCCTGGCTGTGTGGGCACTTGGGTTCTCCTCACACGTGCTGCAGTTTCTGTCCCCACAACATCAACTCACTATAACTACACCACCAAACTCCACACAGAGGACGCCTTGTCTGCTGAGGATGGGGCGGGTGGCATCGAGGCCAGGAAATGTCCCTGTGGGGCAGTGCCAACAGTTAGTTTCAAGTGGAATACGGTATTTCTCAGAGGGCTCTCAGCCTTTCTGCCCTGGGGAATTTCCATCAGCCACAGCTTTGCACGTGGCCAGAGCCTTCCTCATATTCTCTCCTGTCTCCCAGCATCTCGTGGTGGTATTTTCCCTACCAGGGATTCTGGTGTCAACTGTTAGATGAAAATATTTTCTCTCTCTCTCCCTCTCACTCTCACTTTCCCTCTCCCCAGCATACACATATGTGAAATATATATATATATATATATATATATATATATATATATATATATATGTATAAGAAGAAAATAACCAGCACCCTAATCCCATCTTCTTCCAGGATAAATGCTAGTAACATTGGCTAATATATTTTCCAGTATTTTTTTCTATAAATATATACAAAGAAACCCATACACACTCACACATCCTTCTTTTTTAATTGGAGTAATATAGCAATTTTTTCATGAACATCCTTCCACACGAATAAATATCCTTCTATGAGATTGTTTTTAATAGAAGAGCTCTTTTGAAAAGTAGAGCTCCCTTTTTGCCTGGGTTTAGAAGCTGCTAGGACTCAGCCTGACTTCTCTGAAGAGAGCTACCTGCTTGCAGGGTTGCGAAGCAGTTTGGAGCGGAGAGATCGTAGGACTTTGCTGAGCCCTTGACACAAGGGTCTACCCACTGGGATTGGACCTGGGCAGAGGACAATGGCACTCACAGCGATGATGATATCAAGTGCCATTTGTTGTGTACCTACTACGTGCCAGGCATCATGGCAGGACTTCACACCTGTTATATTTTATCAACCCTTCTTAATAAGGCTTTGGGGTATAGGTGTTGTCCCCATTTTCATGTTATTTTCTTTTTCTTTCTTTTTTTTTTTTGAGACAGAGTTTCACTCTTGTTACCCAGGCTGGAGTGCAATGGCATGATCTCGGCTCACCACAACCTCCGCCTCCTGGGTTCTCCTGCCTCAGCCTCCTGAGTAGCTGGGATTACAGGCACCTGCCACCGTGCCCAGCTAATTTTTGTATTTTTAGTAGAGACGGGGTTTCACCTTGTTGACCAGGATGGTCTCGATCTCTTGACCTCGTGATCCACCCGCCTCGGCCTCCCAGAGTGCTGGGATTACAGGCGTGAGCCACCGAGCCCGGCTTCACTTTCTTTTCTAATTATCTATTGCTACTACTTCAATTTATTTTTTAAAAATTTGACCTATTCTTTGGGAGGCCAAGGTGGGCGAATCACCTGAGGTCAGGAGTTTGAGACCAGCTTGGCCAACTTGATGAAACCCCTTCTCTACTAAAAATATAAAAATTAGCTGGGTGTGGTGGTTCATGCCTGTAGTCTCAGCTACTTGGGAGGCTGAGGCAGGAGAATCACTTGAACCCAGGAGGCAGAAGTTGCAGTGAGCTGAGATCATGCCACTACACTCCAGCCTGGGTGACAGAGGGAGACTCTGTCTCAATATAAATAAATAAATTAAATAAATTTAAAAATAAAAGAGCAAATTGATTAAAAGCATGAATTTGGGGTGAGTCAGAGAGACCCACCAAAACCAAAACCCCCATCTAAGCCTAGTTCTTTTGCTCACTGGTTCTGCTCCTTAAACTTCCTGAGTCTTAGTTCCATGATCTACAGAATAGGGTTAACAGTGCAATCCTGGTTTACAGCTTACAAACATGCTGCGACTTCTTCCGTCTGAAATTCCTTGAGCCTGCCTCTCCCTCCAGCTCCCTGCCCTTTCTCCACAGCACCTTAGAACAGAGTTCCTGGTGGCTCAAGCCTATATAATCCTAGCACTCTGGGAGACCGAGGCGGGTGGATCATGAAGTCAGGAGTTCGAGACCAGCCTGGCCAATACGGTGAAACCCCGTCTCTACTAAAAATATAAAAAATTAGCCAGGCGTGGTGGCACATGCCTGTAGTTCCAACTACTTGGGAGGCTGAGGCGGGAGAATCACTTGAACCCGGAGGCGGATGAGTTGCTCCACTGTTGTCAGGTCCCTCTCACCTTCAGACCCTCTCCTCTCCTTTCTGTTCCTCTCTGTTTGCTTACAGCCCTCCTCTTCGCCAGAACCTTCCTTCTCAGTCCTCACTGACTCCACATGGTTAAACCTATGGGCAGTTCTCGTCCCTCACCTCCCTTGATGAATCAGCAGCATCTGACACCCTTGAGCTCTCCCTCCTCCTCAACATACTTTCTTCACTTGCTTCCAGAACATTCCACCCTCTCCTGATCTTCCCCTGCCTCGCTGCCATGCCTCCTCAGTCCCTTTCACTGGTTCCTTCTCCAGAACCAGTGGAAACCTGTCCTGCAAAGACTGAAGTAAATGTTGGAACCCATCCTTCGACCCCTCTCCCCCCATCTTCATCCCTCCACTGGGTGACCTCATTTAGCCCCAAGGTTCTGAAGACCGTCTACATCCTGACAACTCCCAACTTTAAATTTCCAGCCCAGACATCTCTGAACACCAGAGTCAACCCCACTTGAATGTCTAAATGGCGTCTCTCTCAAACCAAACTCCAATTTTTCTTTTCTTTTTTTTTGAGACAGAGTCTTCCTCTGTCACCCAGCCTGGAGTGCAGTAGTAGCGAGATCTCAGCTCACTGCAACCTCCGCCTCCCAGGTTCAAGTGATTCTCTTGCCTCAGCCTCCTGAATAGCTGGGATTATAGGTGCATACTGCCACACCTGGCTAATTTTTGTAGAGATGGGGTTTTGACATGTTGGCCAGGCTGGTCTCTAACTCCTGATCTCAAATGATTTACCCACCTCAGCTTCCCAAAGTGCTGGGATTACAGGCATGAGCCACTGTGCCCGGTCTCAAATTCCAATTCTTTACCCCTCTGAGTGCCTCTTCCCCCCATCTCCTCATCGCTGCTCCATCCTTCCCATTGCTCGCTGGAAATGTTGAAGTTGTTCTCTCCATCTGTCTTTCAATCACTGCCCATAACTGATCCGTCAGCAAATCTTGCTTCAAAATGTATCCAAAATCCAACTCTTCTCACTGCCCCAGCGCTAGCAGTGGTGGGAGCCAGTCCCATTTCTTGCCTGGATTCCTGCAGTTGGTCTCCAAGAAGCTGGTTTATTTTTAACCTCTCCCCTCCCCATGTCCCCCTACCCACCCCCACCCCTGTTTGTTTCCACCTGGCAGCAGTTAGTGATCCTGCTAAGCCATAAACATGGCCCTCTGAGACAGAGACACCAAGATGGGGTTAGATGAGCAAGGGTTTTTTTTGTTTTTTTTTTTTGAGACAGAGTCTCACTCTGTCACCAGGCTGAAGTGCAGTGGCTCGATCTCCACTCAATCTTCACCACCCGTGTTCAAGCAATTCTCCTGCCTCAGCCTCCCTAGTAGCTGGGACTACAGGCGCCGCCACCATGTCTAGCTAATTTTTGCATTTTTAGTAGAGACGGGGTTTTACCATGTTGGCCAGGCTGGTCTCAATCTCTTGACCTTGTGATCCACCCGCCTTGGCCTCCCAGAGTGCCGGGATTTCAGGCATGAGCCACTGTGCCCAGCCTGCTCCCTCATTCTTTCAGCTCTCTACTTGCATGGGACCTTTCAGTGCAGCCTTTTCCTGACTTTTCTTTCAAAATTGCAGCCTCCCTCCTCTCCTGTCCCGTCACAGCCTCCCTGTCTTCCTTCTCTGAGTGCCTCCAGTGTCCTCATGGGCACCTTTTACTGAGATGATTGTCAGTCTGGAGCTTCCTCCTTGTCCCACACCAGCCTGGCACCTGGCACACAGTAGGTGCTCAGGGATCATGTGCTCTATGCTGGGCAGAAGCCTGTTCTTACCTCCCAGGGTGTCTGGGGTTCCACGGGGCCTGGCGCAGGGAAGGGGGGACACCCAGTAGCAAATGTGAGGTGTCAGGATGTGGTCTGCATCCTCCTCCAGCAGCAGTACTCAGAGCCCCCACCCACCCAGGGGCTCTGTCCCAGACCTGCCCGGCTCAGTGTCCTTGATCTTGCTCTCAGCCTCCAGTCCCTCCTGCTCCCACTCCTGCTCTGAGCTGTAGCCGGAAGGATCTTTTTAACACACAACTCTGGTGCCTGGTGAGGAAGGCCTCCAGGGGCTCCCCATTGCCAGTGCCTGGTCTACAGCTGAATTGCTTCTCCAAGGAGTGTACTCCTTCCCGAAAAACACCCCCGAATCTCACCCTCACCGGCAAAGTCCAAGACCCTCAGACTAGGTCCAGGCCCAGGGATGCTAACCTCAGCTCTGGCCTCAGCCTCCCTGGAGGAAGGCCTTGCCGTTGACTTCACACCTCTGGCAGTTGGATGACAACTGGGGTCAGCACCATTGCCCACTGGCAGCAGGAGGCAAAGGGCCTGGAGGGCCTGGATCCCAGACAAACAGCCACAGCCCAGCCCCCAGCCCCCAGCCCCCAGCCCAGCCCCCAACCCCCAACCCCCAACCCCCAGCCCAGCTCCCAGCCCCCAACACCCAAACCCCAAACCCCAACCCCCAGCTAAGCCCAGCCCCCAGCCCCCAGCCCCCAGCTCAGCCCCCAACCCCCAACCCCCAGTCCAGCCCACAGCTCAGCCCCCAACCTCCAACCCCCAGCCCAACCCCCACCCCCAACCTCCAACCCCCAGCCCAGCCCAGCCCCCAACCCCCAACCCCCAACCCTTAACCCAGCCCCCAGCCCCCAGCCCCCAACCCCCAACATCCAACCCCCAGCCCCCAATCCCCAGCCCAGCCCAGCCCCCAACCCCTAACCCCCAACCCAGCCCAGCCCCTAACCCCCAATCCCCAGCCCAGCCCAGCCCCTAACCCCCAATCTCCAACCCCCAGCCCAGCCCCCAACCCCCAATCCCCAACCCCCAGCCCCCAATCCCCAGCCCAGCCCAGCCCCCAACCCCCAACCCCCAGCTCAGCCCAGTCCCCAGCCCCTACCCCAAAGCCCCTAGCCCAGCTCAGCCCAGCCCCAGCCCACCCCCAGCCCAGCCCCACAAGCAGTCCCTTCCAAGGCCTGTGCAATCTCCCAGCAGACAAACCTAATGGAGGGCCAAGAGGGGATGGTTCATGGCTCAGAGGGTGTCCTGTTGCCAAGGCAGCACCCTGCATTTCACAGCCTGGTGATGCAGGTCAGACCTTGCATATAGATGCACCCCAGCAGGTCAGGACTTGTTGAAGGCTTCACTCAGCAGCTGCTAATTGGTGGCCACCTCCACAACCTCCCATGCCCTCAGCCCCGAAGCTGCTCCCGCCCTGCCCGCTGCACCACTGCCTCCTCTCCCACTTGCCCACTCACCCACTCACCTACTCCTCCACTGTGTGGGTCAGGGGCCTGCAGCGTCCTAGGGCAGGCTGGTCTTCTCTGGCCCTGCATCGCCCACCCTCTCTGGGCTCATGTGTTCTGGGCAGCCTGGCTGAGCTGGACAGGAGGGAGGGAACCACCTGTGGGTCCCCAGACCTGCTCCTCTGCCGGGACACAGGCAAGGAGGCTGCTCCCCTCCCTTCTCTCTGTGACCAGAAACGTCTAGCTCAGAGAGACTGTCAGATCTCGAGACCTCACAGGGGTCTGGGCCTGAGTGGGTGGAGGGTGGAGGGCACAGGACCACAGAGGAACATTCCCATCCTGGGTGCCAGGGTAGCGGGGGTACCTGGTGCTCCGGGCAGGTATGAAGGCCACACAAGCCAGGGCAGGCCTTGGAAGTTTCTCTCCACTGGAAATGGGGCTTCTTCCTGGGGCAGCCCTGGTCCCTTTCCTACAAGGAGGCAGTTTGAAAGCCCCTCTCCCCAGACCCAGCCTATTTCTGGCTCAAAGACCCCTTGAACTGGTCCCCAGGGCCATCCCGCCATCCCCACGCCTGATGCCCTTGAAGTGAGGGTCTCCCAAGTGCCAAATGGTTTATTACTTGGATTTTCATGCCCAGCTGCCTCTTGGCGCCTGCCTCCCTCCCTCCTCCCCTCCAGCCTCCCGCCTCCCACCTCCTACCCTCCTCTTGCCTCTGAGCACCACCTGTCTCTCCAGCCTGCCTCAGCAACCCCTGCTTGCCTGTTGCCAGGGAAACCGCCTCCTTGGCAACCAGCCGGCATCCACATGACATGTATACTCAGGAAGGAAAGGCTTCTGCTCTTGTTCAGGCTGTTGGTGGGCTCTGCTGTGAAGCCCAACAGATTCTGAGGGAGGGTCTGTCTGGTCTGTGATCCCAGAGGGGAGTGGAAAGGCATCATGCATCTCTTGACCATTCAACAGCAGCCTATAAAGCACCTACTACTTGCCTGCCTATGGGCGGGGCTCTTTGTGCACAGTATCTCATTTAATCATGCGTTGAACCTGCAAAATAGATGTGATTATTCCCATTTTATAGACGTGGCAACTGAGGCATGGAGAGGTTAAGGGGTTGCCTTTGGCCGGCAGAAGTCAGAGCTGAGATTTGAACCTACTCTCGTCTGATTTTAAAGCCCCGGTTCTTTTTTGAGACAAAGTCTCACTGTCAGCAGGCTGGAGTGCAGTGTTGTGATCTTAGCTCACTGCAACCTCTGCCTCCCAGGTTCAAGTGATTCTGCTGCCTCAGCCTCCCAAGTAGCTGAGACTACAGGCGGGCACCACCACGCCCAGCTAAGTTTTGTATTTTTAGTAGAGATGGGGTTTAACCATGTTGGACAGTATGGTCTCCTGACCTCGTGATCTGCCCGCCTTGGCCTCCCAAAGTGCTGGGATTACAGGTGTGAGCCCCCATGCCCCGCCAAAAGCCCCGGTTCTTTCTACCCCCTTGAGGTCTCTGGTCAGGCCTCTCTTAGCTGGGCCAAGAGTGAGTGAGTCCTAGGACACCTGAGTGACGGGGAAGCCCCTCACGATAGCTTGTTGGGTGCTAAGCACAGCTGTGGGATCAGGAACCCAGAGACAAACTAGGCATGGTCCCTGCCCTCAAGGGGTTCCCAGTCTGGTGAGATGCTGGTGGGAGCAGGATTCTGACATGATCCAGTACAGGAGCCATGAGGCCCGGGGCAAGGCCTCCAACTGCAGCTGAGCTCGACACTCACTTGGGTTTCCTGGGAGGAGGCTTGGGCTATGGAGGGCCTGTGGTCAGAGAGTGGATGGCAGGAGCTTGAGATCTCCAGGGAGGCGCATATGGGTGATGGCTACAGCCCAGGTGGCCCGGGAGGGGTGGCTGAGAGGAATGAAAGGAAAGTGACAGGACTCTGGAGTCCCCCAGAAGAGTACTGGCCCAATGACCAGGGAGTGTGACCCCAGTGGGTGCCTGATTATCCTTGAGTACAGGCTGTGGGGAGGGGGAGAGCTAGAGGGTGCGGGTGGGTGGGAGGACCCTCACAGGAGCCTGGGCTTTGAGCAGGGGTGGGAAGGCAGAGTTCAGGGAGGCATCCTATTGGAGCAGTGGCCACAGGTGTCATTGCACAGGCCTGCTGGCTGCCAGGCCCTTGAGAGCCTAGGGACAGGCAGGGACAGCAGGAGGAGACCTGGCCCTTTCTCTGGAGAGCCAGGTGGAAGCCTGGATAAAACCTGCCAGGTGGAGCACAAGGCTTTACTGGAGTCCTAAAGCGGGCTTAGGGAGGTGGCAGAGAACAGAGAGGGGTCAGCCCTGTACAGGCAGGGAAGGGGCAAGGTGACTCTGGGAAATGGGGTGGCAGGTGCAAAGGTGTGGCCGGGCTCCACCCTCCCCTGGGCTCCCATGGCAGAGTGTGTAACAGGCAGGGAGGCCAGCTGCTGGGGCCGGGGACTGTCCTTCTGCACACCTGCCCCTGATCGTGGCACCCTGTCTCTTGCAGGCTCTGCAGCGCCGCGAGACGGAGGTCTATGCCTGCATCGAGAGTGAGACTGGCAGCCCACCCACCGCCACGCACAGCCCCAACTCCAAGGTACACAGGCTCGGGGCCACAAGCCTGGCTTCTCACTGCATCTGACCCTCCCATCATGGGTGAAGTGGGGGGCAAATGGGACATGGAAATGACCCACCTGCTGTGGAATCCCAGCCTTCTCCTGGTGGCAGCTGGCCTGCTGGTTAGGACTAGAGGGTTTGAGTTCCTGCTCCGTCCCTTAGCCACTGTGCAGCCCTGGGTGAGGCAACTAACTTCTCTGTGTCTGAATCTCCATGTGTGCAGACTGGGCCACCTAACTGTACTCACCTCGGAGATTTTCAGTGAGGGAGCTGCCTGGGACCCGCTGTGCCCACGCACTGTGAGCCAGTGTAACTACCACGGGCACAGTGTCCACACTGGCCAAGCACAGGGGGTGTTAGGCTTCCAGCTGCCCCCAGGCCGGTGTTGGCTCAAGTCTGGAGCTAGAGTGTGAGCTGTTAGAAGCTGGGCTTCGGGTCAGGTCTCTGCCATGGTCGTGACAGAGCCTCGGGCATATTAGGCAACCATACCTTCTCTCAAACCTGTTTGCTCATCTGTAAAGTGGGTGAGCAATGCTTTCCTGCAATACCAGCTGCTCCTGAGTTAGATGTGTTCCAAGTTGAGTGACATCTGCGCCAGAGCTGTCAGCACTGTGAAGTGTGAGGTGTCATTCAGTCAGAACAGCAGCTCGTGGGCATCTTGGTGCACCCATCAGGGAGGCTGGCACTTGGCCTACTGGCCCAGGCTGGCACTATTTGTTAAATTGCCTATTCTTGTAGCCCTTTCTATACTCAGCCCTCAACTGACCCCGAGTGAAAGCAGGGTTTCCCCCGGCCTGGGACCCCAAGGGATGTCTGGGCTATCTCAGGCAGTGCCCACCCTGTGCCAGGCCCTGGGGTGCTGGTCAGGAGAACTAGGCATGTCTCTGGCCTCTGGGAACCACAGTCTGTAGGAACAGGTCACTGACCCCATGGACACACAGCGGTATTTGTAGCCCTCTTGTGAAGGGTGGTCTTCTGGGAGGGACCAGCCAGGGCAGGGACGGGGAGGGGGTCCTGGGACCCTACCATGAGCCGGTAACCAGATGAATAGGAGGCAGTCGGAACAGGTGAGTCTATGGGAGGAGGCACATCCCAGACAGAGGGCAGAAGGCTGAGGACAGAGCTGTGGGGGAAGCTCTGAGGCTGGAAGGGGAGGCCCATGTGGCTGGAGGGCAGAGAGCAGGAGTGGGGTAGCGTGGTGGGGGAAGAGGCTGGGAGGTGGCCTTGGAGACAGAGGGCAGGCCCTCCATCCGAGCTACACAGGAAGTGATCTGTTTCCCTCCAGCTAAAACTAAAGGAGTGTAAGTTCATTCCTTTCCTAACCGGCATTTTCTCTCTTTCTCTCCCTCCCTCCCTTTCTTCTTTTCTATGCAGGAGAGACTGCATAGATTCGAAGATGACAAACTTAGCCTGGTCTATGAAAACCTCTAAAGTGGGCTCCACCACCCGCAGAGCTTGCCCTGGGTCAGAGGACCGGGCAGCCCCTGCCACCAAAGGACTTGCCCTGAATTGGGAGAAAGGCCCCCAGGGACACCCCATCATCTCACCCTCACATTCAAGGCCCTTTCTTCCTTGGCTGGCCCCACTCCCCCCATTCTGTGACTCAGCCACCAAGGGTTTCACATCTTGGGGCCTTTGCCCAGGCTGGTCCTTCTGCCAGACGCTCCCTTCCTCCCTTCCTCCCTTGGCCCAACCGGCAAAGCGCTCCTCAGTCTTCAAGGGGTCTCCTGGATGCCACCTCTCACTGACAGAGCAGCATGCTCTCTTGGCACCAGCCTGCACCTCGGCCAGCAGGGCAGCCTCTGAGCTGAGGGAGGACCCGGCAGGGGCTGTGTGGGGAGCAGCCGCTCAAACTCCCACCTGCCCAGCTGGGCCAGAGACATGGGGCAGCCACACAGGGCTGGCATGGGAGGTCTGCGGGGCGGGCAAGGACGATGAACCCCTGCAGAGGCCAGACTGGTATCAGGGACAGATCTAGAGGTCTAGAACACAGCAGGCTGGGGACCTGGAGCAGAGAGGGCTTGGGTACAAGCTAGTGAGGAAGGAGATTCTGGCATGTTTGGGGTGAAGGCAGAGGGACGGATGAGGGGAGGAGGGTGCTGGCTAAACAGGAGCTGAAGGCCGGGCGCAGTTGCTCATGCCCATAATCCCAGCACTTTGGGAGGCCGAGGCGGGTGGATAACGAGGTCAAGAAATCATGACCATCCTGGTCAACAAGGTAAAACCCCGTCTCTACTAAAAATACAAAAATTAGCTGGGTGTGGTGGTGCGCGCCTGTAGTCTCAGCTACTCGGGAGACTGAGGCAGGAGAATTGCTTGAACCCAGGAGGCAGAGGTTGCGGTGAGCCGAGATCGTGCCATTGCACTCCAGCCTGGGTAACAAGAGCGAAACTCAGTCTCAAAAAAAAAAAAAAAAAGGCCCGGTGCGGTGGCTCACACCTGTAATCCCAGCACTTTGGGAGGCCGAGGCAGGTGGATCACGAGGTCAAGATATCAAGACCAACCTGGCCAACATGGTGAAACCCCGTTTTTACTAAAAATACAAAAATTAGCTGGGCGTGATGGTGTATGCCTGTAGCCCCAGTCACTTGGGAGGCTGAGGCAGGAGAATTGCTTAAACTGGGAGGCAGAGATTATAGCAAGCTGAGATTGCACCACTGTACTCCATCCTGGCGACAGAGCGAGACTTTGTCTAAAAAAAAAAAAAAAAAAAAAAGAGCTGAATGGATAGCCTGAAGCTCCCCCTCCCTACTAAGGGTCCCCACTCCCACTGACCTGTGTCATCTCCTTGGTTACCCTCAGGCCTTCTCCACAGCCCGGCCTCAGCCATCCCTCCTTCCACCCAAGGTGCAGTGCCCCAAAGCCCCTTCTGTCTGGCCTGTCCTGTGCCTACCACCTGTGGTGTCATCCAGCCCTCCTGCTCTGTCTTTATCTGCTGTAAGCCCAGCCCTGGTCCCCTGTGGATTGAGGTCCTAAGTGGTCCAGCTGTGGGATTTGGTGCTGGAACCCTCATGGGCAGCCAAAGGATCCCTCTGAGGCAGAAGCTCAGGCCCCATGGGGACAGTGGCTCCCAGTGCCTGGCCCTGAGCCATGCCTGCTGTTCCGAGTGCCCACGTCACCTCATTTCCTCCTCACAGCAGCCCTGCACTGCAGCCAGAAACCCATCCCCAGGCAGGCAGTGGCTGGGCCGAGGCATTCCTGGGCTGTTGGGCTCTGCTTTCTCTCTCCCCTCCCGCATCCTCCTCGAGTTCACCCACCTTTGCTCATTTGTGAAATGGGCCAATCCTCCCACCCCACTTTGTGGGCTGCCCAAACCCCAAATGTGCCCAGGGAGGGTGGGGAGCCCAAGGCACAGGCCGTGCTCCTGCCCCCAAGCAGCACGGGGCTACCAGCTGGCAGAGGCGCCTTCGGTTCTGCAGGTCAGGGCTCTCCCTGCAAGGATGGGAAGGCTGGTGGTAGAGACTGGGCACTGACTGACCTCCAGAAGTCCCTGCACCCTCTGCTAGGGTGGCACCAGATTTCCCTGGTCCCACAGGACAGCCAGTGGCCTCCCAGCTTGTTTGGGGCACCTGCCTGTGAGCACACATAGTGAGGAGGGCTTTAGCAGGCTGGCAGAACCAAGCGGCAAGGCCCCTGCTCCCAGAGGCTGGGTTTGAATGAACTTGGGGCCTGTTTGAGGTGAAGCTGATAGGTGTGCACGGCAGCTTCCCAGGCTCCTGGCTCCACCAGCCTGAGGTGGGGCGAGGGTCAGGGCAATGGGGGGCCATGCTACTCAAGGTGCAGGGAGCTGCCCCAGGAACTCCAAAGCCAGCAAGACAAGGAGAGGCCCCCGCACTGGGCCTGCCTCCCCTACCTCCTGGGCCTCTCTAATCTCAGCTCCCAGACCCTGGACACTCCAGCTGGGACTCAGCCTTTTCCAGTGTGTTTCAGGCGTAGAGAGGGGAGCCTGGAGGGAGCTTTACCACTGTGCCCTAGCCCAGGCGTCACCAACACGGCCTCCTGCAGCTGCCCTGCCCCCAGCAGACCCTGATGAAACCCACACCTGGCCTTGGACCACCCCCCGCCCGCTCCACACCTTGCATGGTTTTTGCCTCACTTGGAATAAAATTCCAACTCTTCCCTGCGGCCTAGGAGGTTCTTGGGGGCTGAACATCACCCCTCTGGTGGACGTAGACATTGCCAGCATGGTGGTCAGCTGTGCTTGGTTCAGGGCAAGGCTGGGAGGCAGTGGGTGCTGAGGTCTTCAGTGAGCAAGGAGAAAGGCTGGGAGAAAGAGGAGGGAAGGGGAGGAGGAGGGGGAGGGGGAGAGAGAGGAGGGGGAGGGGAAGGGGAAGGGGAAGAGGAGGGGGAGGAGGGGGAGGGGAGGAGAGGAGGGGGAGGGGAGGGGGAGGAGGCAGCAGCATGGAAGGACAGGACCCTAGAGGGCTTTGACCCAAGGGAGGGTAGGGCAAGAAAGTTCTAAAACTTCTGCTGGCAGCAAAGAGGACTGAACACCTGTTCTGAGCCCCCAGGACTGACAGCCTGCAGAGGCGAGCTGGCTCAGGGCAAGGGGTGGCAGTGAACTTCAGGGTGGGAGGTGCAGGGGGCAGTGGGTAGGGGGAGGAAGAAGAACAGAAAGAGGACAGAGAGGGCATGAATGTGAGCTGCTGGGGTGAAAGCTCGCTTTCCACTCGGAATGGGTGGAGGAGAGAAGAGAAGAAAACTGCTTTTGAGAGCATCACAGTCTGGGTGGCCCCAGGGCCTCCCTTGAATCCCTGCTCCAGTCCCCATAGCCTTGTGGCCTTGGCAAGTCCCTGGCCACCTGAGCCTCGGTTTCTAGTGACAGTCAAGACAGCTCAGGCCAGGTGTGGTGGGTGGCTCCTGCTTGTGATCTCAGCACTTTGGGAGGGCGAGGCGGGTGTATCACTTAAGGCCAGGAGTTTGAGACCAGCCTGGCCAACATGGCGAAACCCCAGCTCTACTAAAAGTACAATTAGCCTGGTGTGATGGTGGGCACCTGTAGTCCCAGCTACTCAGGAGGCTAAGGCAGGAGAATCGCTTGAACCCGGGAAGCAGAGGTTGTAGTGAGTCGAGATGGCCCCACTGCATGCCAGCCAGGGTAACAGAGCATGACTCTGTCCAAAAAAAAAAAAAAAAAAAACTGCTCAGTGTCTCTCAGAAAGGACAAATGGGGACTCCCTGGCTCCCTGGCTCCCTGGCTCAGGCAGAGGCTCAGTGGGTGAGCATTTCCTTCTAGATTCGTCCTTCAGAAGAAACAGGCTGCTGGGGCAGTGCAGAGGGTGTAAGTGGCAAGCAGGCCTCCCTGGGAGCTGGGGCCCGGGCTCTGCAGCCATACCTGCAAGGAGTGCCTGCGGGGTTCAGGGGGACAGGCCAGGGCTGCCCAGAGCTGGGGGATGGGGGCAAGGCAAGCAGAGAGGTGAACGGAGGAAGATGCTGGCTCAGCAAGAGCTGAATGAATGGGCCTGGAGAAGAGCTGAGAGTGGGGGTGGGGGTGGCTTGAGTGAAGTAGCTGAGGCCCAGGTGAAGGGGAGCCGAGGGCCTTCCAGGAAGGGCGGATGTGAGCAGTCCTGAGCAGGATAGGCTTAGGGTGGGGAAGGGAAGCTCCAGGCAGCCCCTGCAGGCCCCTGCCCAGGTCTCTGAGTCTCAGCTGATGCTTCCCTCTGCCCACTGCCCCCTGTCCTGGTGGGATTTCCTACCATCTCCCCGCCTAGCCTGCCCTCCTAGGTCTTCCCAGCCTTGCCCTCTGCAGACACATCTCAGCCACATCTGGCACCCCCAGGCCTCCCTGCCTCTAGGAAATTGACCCCTTCCATGGGTTTCAGCCTTGTCAACCCCCCATCCCCCCCATCTTCCCCCATCCCCGTTGGCTCCTGCTCTGTCAGCACTTGCTTGAGAAAATCATCCTGGGAAACCAGCCTCTTGGAGCAGGGGCCTTGCCCCTCAGTTCTGCCAGCCTGCCAAAGCCCTCCTTGCCTTGTGTGCTTGCAGGCAGGGGCCCAGAACCAAGCTAGGAGGCCACTGGCTGCCCTCTGGGACCAGGCAAGTCTGGTGCCACCTTAGCAGGGGGCCCAGGGACTTCCTTTAGAGGTCAGTCTGTGGCCAGCATCTACCACCAGCCCAGAAATTGAAGTGGGTGCGGGAAGCGGTGTTCCCTCCTCAGCAAACATTTCCAGAGGATTCTGGCAGCAGAGTTTCCATGGGAACATGTGCTGGTTCTCCGCAGAACCTGGTGGGGCTGGGGCTCCCTTCACAGCCAGTATTACGGACCTGAGCCTGGTGGCCTTGGCCAGGATGGGCAGTGCTCTCTGGCCACCCACTGTCACAAACCTGAGCTCAAGTTACAGGCAAAACCTGCTTTTCCTTTTTCTTTTTTTAAAAGCACATTCTAATTTAAAGGCCACGCTCCATTCTAAAGACACCTCTGGGATTTCAGAGATGGATTTTGCATAGTTCAATAGTTTTCTTGGCAGACAGCTTATGCAGGAGGGGTGGCTCAGTCCAGCCAGGATGAGTGGCATCGCTCCGTTCCCCGAAATGCCAGGGGATGTCATTTGCCCACCTGAGGGGCTTCCCCAGTCTTAAGCACGAGGCTGTGGTCAGAATGATGGCCTCAGCCTTGACTGAGCGTGGGTCAGGCCAGACTCTCTGCACTTGCTGTTAGCGTGTGTGTTGTGTGTGTCTGTGTGACATATGTGGGTGACACAGGCATATGTTGCAGTAAAACATTAAAACTGCAGCAAAGTGGAATTCCCCCAATGCACCTGCCACCTCCCAGCCTCCCTACTCCTCCCTTCTGCAGCAGTAACCAACCGGGTCATTTGGGAGTGTTCTCTTCCTTGCTGCTCTGATTGCATCTAGGCGCATACCTGTGAACATGGGAAAGATGGAGCTTCCGCACAGCCGTGATGGACTCATTCTGTAGGTGGTGTTTGCACTTGCTTTGTTGATGCAGCCCCACGTGGTGGGATCTGCCGGAGACGGAGACGGAGACGGAGACAGAACGCAGGAGCTGCCAGACTCCAATTACAGCCAAGGATCCTGCAGGACAGATGGATCCAATGTAATCAGGCCCATATTGAAGGTCTTTTCAGTTGTTTATGGTTTTTCAACCTCACATAAGCGGCTGGCTGCAGGGGATATCCTTGTACACGCACATCTGCTAAACTTTCTCCATGGGAGATGAGAAGGGACTCCTAGGGCCCGGGGCATGGAAAATTCACTGTTCTAACAGTCACTAATTGTCAGCCCTGAAGTTGGACTGGTTTATATTCCTCGGACTCTTTATCTAGAATATCTCATTTAATCCTGAAAATAGGTCAGGGATGGTGGGCAGAGGTGATCTCTCTATTTTACTGAAGCAGAAGCTACTGCTCAGAGAAGCTGACTGGCTCCGGGTCACACAGCCCAGGAGGAACAAGGCTGGGCTGCTTTGGTGGGTATGCGGTCCTGCCATCACCCAGGCCGGGTGGGGGAGGGGATGTGGGAGGGGATGGGGGAGGCAGAAAGAGCCACTGAGAGATGTGGTGCCCCCAGGACTAGGGAAGCCCATAGAAGGACAGATTTCCTTCAGTGATGGACTGGCAGCCTCGCATTCCTCATACCCAGTTTCTCAGAAGTAAGTGTGTGTGTGTGTGTGTGTGTGTGTGTGTGAAGTTGGGGGAGTTCTCCTGCCTCCTAGTAGTCTATCTCCTTGGGGAAATGTAGGCAGGTCCTTAGAGACACAGGGGTTGGGCCTTCCCAGCAGCCCACACCCGCTGTGAGGCCTGGATCCTGGCAGCTTGAATGCTCTGATCCTGTCTACCCTGGAAATTCCCAGGCACAGCATGCCTGGAGGTGTGAGCCGCCTCTTAGAAGCTCGATAATCCAGGATAATGCCGCTGTAATTGGCATTGTTTTGCCTTTACAATCCTCTCATTACCTGAGAACGAATTTTGCGAATGGCTGGAGTGGGTTTTATTTTTACCACTTTGTGGACCTTGAGGGACCAAGAAGTGATGGCACTTTCTCTGTCTCCCCCTTGCCTGCGCCATCCCCATTCCCCAATGAGCTCCCAGGCCCAAGTGGGCCAGATCCTGGCCTTGGCTCAGGACACAGCCCTGTACCTTGCTCCCTGCCATGGGCTGATCCAGGGAGGTCTCTTCTCCCCAGATGCCCCTTCTGTCACCCATTAAGTCCACGCATAAGAGCCTCCCTCGAACCCCTCCTCCTTCCAGCCATTCCCAATCCAAACAAGTCTCACCTGATTTTTCTATAGCACAGATCTGACCACACCATTCCTCCCTCAAAAGCCTGCCATACCTTATGGTTGCAGTCAATTCATTCCAACAAGGGGGCCACCATCATTTAATGGGGAAAAAACAGTCTTTTCAATAAGTGGTGCTGGGAGAGCCAAACCTGTACATGACCCCTACCTCACACCCTATACCAAACCTCACCGTGGCTTCCACTGTCCACAGGATTGGGACTCAACCTCTTAGTTTCACATTCAGGGCTCTTTCCACTTCTTCACTCTTTTTTTTTTTTTTTTGAGCCCCAGGCTGGAGTGCAATGGCATGATCTCGACCTACTGCAACCTCCACCTCTTGGGTTCAAGCAATTCTCCTCCCCCAGCCTCCTGAGTAGCTGGGATTACAGGCCCGCACCACCATGCTCAGCTAATTTTTTTGCATTTTTAGTAGAGACAGGGTTTCACTGTATTGGTCAGGCTGGTCTCAAACTCCTGACTTCAAGTAATCGGTCCACCTTGGCCTCCCACAGTCCTGGGATTACAGATATAAGCCACCATGCCTGGCCTCTTTTTGTTTGTTTATTTGTTTGAGACAGGGTTTCTCTCCCATCACCCAGGCTGGAGTGCAATGGTGTGATCTCTGCTCACTGCAACCTCTGCCTCCCAGGTTCAAGCAATTTTCCTGCCTCAGCTTCCCAGGTAGCTGGAATTAGGGGTATGTGCCACCATTCCTGGCTAATTTTTTGTATTTTTAGTAGAGACAGGGTTTCACCATGTTGGCCAGGCTGGTCTCAAACTCCTGTCCTTAGGTGATCCAGCTGCCTCAGCCTCCCAAAGTGCTGACAGGCGTGAGCCACCAAACCCAGCCATCCCTTCATTTTTTTAACAACAT